AAATTGTATTGTAAATAAAACTTAATAAATTAGGTTTCTTCCTTAGGTGCGGCGTATATATCGAAGTTACCCTAGTTATGTAAAGTTTACTAGAATTATATACATACGTGGTAGGGTCAAAAAGTTCCTGGAATTGGTTAATAAAAATTTATTGAAAGTATGTATAACATTTTTACCTTATTTTCCTTCAAAATACTCTCCTCCTGCATCAACACACTTATTCCACCGTTCATACAATTGTTGGAAACACTCCTGAAAGCCGTTTTTCGAAAGTTCTTTCAGCCGCTTCGTCGCATTTTCAATCACTTCTGACGAATCTGCAAAACGTTGTCCCTTCAATGTCACTTTCAGCCGTGGAAACAGGTAAAAATCCGGTGGTGCAAGATCAGAAGAATATGGAGGGTGTTCCAGAGTGGTAACATTGTTCTTGGCAAGGTATTGTTTCACCAAGAAAACAAAAATTTCGCTTGGACAGAAGCCGGGGTAAAGTTGGAGGTGTTTTTTTATTACCAGGGTTTGATTCATTATGCATTTATTCCTGGAGGGCAAACAGTCAATAAAGAATTTTACACAGAGATCTTAAAACGGTTACGAGATGCAATTCGACGAAAACCTGAACGGGCAGGGAATGATTGGTTTTTGTTGCATGACAATGCCCCGTCACATCGATCCGAAATGGTGAAGCAATACCTTGCCAAGAACAATTATTTTTAGTTACCACTCTGGAACACCCTCCATATTCTCCTAATCTTGCACCACCGGATTTTTACCTGTTTCCACGGCTGAAAATGGCATTGAAGGGACAACGTTTTGCAGATTCGTCAGAAGTGATTGAAAATGCGACGAAGCGGTTGAAAGAACTTTCGAAAAACGGCTTTCAGGAGTGTTTCCAACAATTGTATGAACTGTGGAATAAGTGTGTAGATGCAGGAGGGGAGTAATTTGAAGGAAAATAAGGTAAAAATGTTATACATACTTTCAATAAATTTTTATTAACCAATTCCGGGAACTTTTTGACCCTACCACGTATACATAAATACAAGGTATTGCGGATGAGGTGTCTATCCGCTCATATACCGATAGAGGGAGTTAAACTGAAAAACATAAGTTATGTACCATTTTGTAAAATTTTCAATAATTATCGAGTAATTAATTAAATTAATTAAAATATCTGAGCGAATGAGCATAAGGAATGCGGTAGGTTGAACTCAGCAGATATTAAATGGCTTATTTGTTTAGTCTGGTAACGGTGAGAGACGAGCTGTCAGCATAATCTGAAGCTCGCCGTTCACTGTGTAAATTTTTTTTCGGTATGTCACTACACCTCCTGCTATCGGACGCTCACCGTTGTTACCGTGCATTTAACATGCACGAGTCCGCCCTACTACTTCTCGTGCGTACATTTGTCCAGAGGTTTTTATTTATTACTCAAAAATTATTGCAAATTTTATAAAATGGTTTATAACTTTCCTTTTCAATTTAACCTGCTCTACCTGTATACGAGCACGTAGACATCTTAGCCGTAACACCTTATATATATAATATATATATATGTATACACACGATAAAACTTTGTTTTACTTACTAATTTCATATACTCTTCATCATTGGCAGTTTCAAAATTTTCTATATCTGCAACAGATGAAATTGGCAAAAATGCTGGCTTTTCGGGCACATGTCTTTGGCTATTATTCATCTTTGTTAATAGTGTATTCAATGTTTTGTGTATTTTTCTGTAAAAAGCATATAACATATAATATATATATTATATATACAATATATAAATAATATAATATATTAAAAAATATATTAATTGATATTATTTATGTAATACGTTTAAAACTTACTGAACTTCCAAAGCTAATTGATCCAGTTTTCCATGTATAGCTCTATAAATATTTGTTATATTTTTGTATATGACTATGGCGTACATATATTTCAATTATAATAATTTTTATTCAATGTATACTCACTGAATTTCTGGTCTCACATTATAAAATTCTCCTTGAGTTGATGAAGGCAAATAACTTGGAGTTGGCCAGATGTTTGAAGCCGGCAACTGAGTTTCAGGTGTATTTAATCGGTTACCACCTATGTGTTGTGTATAAGTAGCATGTGGTTCGTGTGTAAATGATTGCGTTGTATGAATGGAATGAAAATTTTGCCCTGTGTAGGATGATGCTTTTTGATGCATAAAAGGTGCTTGTGTTGTGTGAGTGACTGTTAATGGTTGTGTGTAAGTTGATGAGTGTGATGTGATATTGAATGCTTGTGTAGTGTGTATTGATGAATGTACATTAGTTAATGAGTGTGTTGTGTCACTAGCATGTCTTATATGATGGTCATGATTGGTTGTAGGTTGTGTGTGAGTGAATGATTGATGAGCATGTAGTGTGTTTAAATTGGGAGAATGATCTTCTAATACTCCCCGTAACTCAGCGACATCATCTTCTAGTTGTTTGTCCTGCAATTCCATCGCCTTATTTCTTCCCAAATCCGCTTCGTCCGAAGATGTTGTCTGGAATCGTCGCGGTTTAACAATAGTCCGTTTGGGACGATCGTCCATTCTTTCTTTCTGTAAATGTAATATGTTTATATATATATTGAATTAATTATAAAATAAAATATGTAGTTAAGAAATAAAATAAAAGATATATCTATACATATACATATGTATTTAAAAATATACATATAAAATTTAGTATTTTTTATATAAAATTTTCAAAAAGAAAAACCAG